CATCCTCCCGTTACCCCCATCCCCCCGTTACCCCCATCCTTCACCCCACCAGAAAACAGCACAACTCCAACCAAACTCAGACGGGCTTTGGGAACCACCACACCCCCGCGACTCCGAATTTGGCAGTTGCCAGCAGCTCCCCGGGCACCTTTGGCATCCCCACTCTGCAAAAACCACCCCCAAACCTTGAGCTTATCACTTTATCCTGCAAATATCCAGCAGTTGGTCCTAGAGCATCCTTACTGTCTCCTGGGGGGGAGCAGCATGGCCTTGGAGACCCTCCAGCACTGGCACTGCCCACCCCGAGCATCCTGCAGGCAAGAGGACGAAGCTCATGGCATCAAGAGAATATTTAATGACCCCATCGGGTTTACGTGCTCTGGTCAAGCAAATTTTCCGGTGGGTTGTGGTTTGGCAAGGGGATACCACCCCCCAAAAAATGTTCCCCCACCCCAATCCTGATGAAAGAAAGTGCCGTGGGGGCTGGTGGGGCTTCCCCCGCCCTGTGTCCCCATCCCGCAGCTTGTGCTGGGGCTCAAAGCGAGGGTTCCTCCGGAAAAGCCACCAGGAGAAGGGCTTGTAAGGCCAAGGGCATCCACCGAGAAGCCGTCGAGAGGCAGCCAGGAGAGGACATCCCACCCCTGGCGAGTCCTCCCCCAGCAGCAGCAGGCTGGGACCTTCCTCTTGGCATCCTCTTAAAAACACCGTCCCCCACCCGCTCCTGGATGTGGGGTTTTGGGGTTGCCGGTGGGTGCCGGGGGTCAGGATGAGGGACTGCAACATCACGGTCCCCGAGGGTGGTGGGGACGTCAGACCCGTGTGCCCCGCTCCATCCCCACCGCCCAGGAGCTGGGCCGGGGCTCGCCCGGTCCGAGGACTCTCCCATGCTTTCCAGTTTGGCGTAACCCACCAGGCTGACGTGGTCCAGCCGGGGCCAGCTCCGGTTCTTCCGGTCCTTGATGGGGGCCACCAGCAGCACCCCCGGCCGGCCGAGGTCCAGGGACTTGGAGTGTCCCGAGGTGTGGAGCTGCACATCCAGGCTGAGCTCCGCCGCCACCGGCTCCGTGCCAGGGCAGGCACCATCCACCTTGATGATCGCGTG